ATTCCACTGTGCATTAACAATTTACCCATATTAGGTTATTAGATTAGTGTTAGGGAGTGATAAGAGACTCAAATTAAGTCGAAACGCAATCGTCTTCGCATATTTCAACAGATAAATAAATTTTGTCGGTTGTTCATCTAGCTACGGGGATTGAATACGGGGTTGTACAGAGAGTAAATGGAAATACAATTAACATAAATAAAAATTGAAATTAAGGAATAAAGATTAAAAGAATATTTAGTTGATAAAAAGATAAGCACTAATTTTAGAAGAAAAATAATAAAATAAAACAAAAAGTTAACAAATGAATATAATGAACAAAAATTGGAATAAAATAATTATTTAAACTATAATAATATACATGTGACGTTCATAACACTATAGACCCTTCTAATGTTTGAAAACCGTTTGTTTGTACCAATGTTTACTTTTGATCAGTCCGATATTGTGATTGTTGCTTTGCCAACGAAAGGATCTGAATCTATGAATGTTTTTTTGTCCCTCTTCTTGCCAATACCAGTATGTCCAGACACCCAAAGTAATCTTGCCAGTAGATTCGCTTTTTCTTTCTCTTCAATACCAGTATATCCAGACACCCAAAGTAAACTTACTTTGTTATTTTTTCTTTTCCTAATCAGATTATGAAGACAGCTCCAAAATCACTTGAAATTAATCCGATTTAATTCCAGCGCCTTTAATACCGCCTCAATATTTTTCTTCTTCATGTATCATGTTCTTTCAGAACGTTGGTTACCATCACAGCTATCTTAATTTTTTTCAATGCCGCCCTAAATAGCATGCTTGTATCAACACCATACCAATCTCGCAAGTTCTACAACCATGAGGTCCTTCTTTGTCCTGCACTGCGCTTGCCTGCTATTTTTCCTTGCATGATATTTTGTAGCAACCTATATTTGAGACCTCTCATTACATGTCCGAAATACTCCATCTTTCTCTGCTTGACGCACTTTGATATTAGAATTTTCAATTTTTATAAATGTCGGTCAGATAGCCAAGTATGCTGGGCGGCCGGATTCTCACTAGCTTCACTGCTAGTGGTTCAGCGGATGTGAGTTCGATCCCCAGCTCGGTGTACAGAAAAAAAATGGCTAACGCAGCAGTTTAACATTCTAAATGAGTCTGCGGCTTAGACTAGAATATGCTGATGTCTGATCGGCCTATGGTGGAGCAGTACGGGAAGAGATAAGGGCTTGCGGCTTGGTGATACTCCTCCATAGATCCCTACCGGAAGGGCGTGTGCCACTTAAATATCGCGTATATATATATATATATATATATATATATATATATATATATATATATATATATATATATACAGAATATATATATATATACATATATATATATATATATATATATATATATATATATATAAAAATTTTTTATAAATATGTATAGACCTTTTTCTGCAGGTTTTCTTTATTAATTTCTGCAGGCACATCTTTACAGCATTTTCCGCTTAAAATACAGTAGAGTGATTACCTAGCCTTTTACTAAGGCTTTGTCTTAGTTTTCCTCCATATACTTCAGTTGTTACATCTTTATCAGTTTATGCGATATTGGGGCTGAACTACTGCGAAAAATAAACGGAAATCAATGCACTGCTAGAAATCAATGCAATATCTAATAGATCAAGCTAGTACATGCCTCCAGAATTTTGTTATATATAATATCCTAAATAAATAGATGTAATAAGCCAATTGGCTGTCGTATAACCAATACGTATACTATATGGATACGCAGATAAAAACAGATTGATCAAAAGACCATTTAGAAATAAGTGTCTTTTCTAAATCCACAAATAAAAACATGAAGGAAACAAGCAGTAAAACGATCTTGGTTATAGTCTTTGTCGTTCTGCCAGGTAGACCTCACTGACCTTAATTATGGTTTTACAGCCAACCTACAGCACAGTCAGGCAACCTCAACAGAATATAACAGAAAAGCCTTGTTTACACCAGCACCAAATAAAATGTCTATTGGGTGTTGGCGGAGAACTTACATATAGCAGACCTTTTAAAGTTCCCAGAATTTGCATAATAGTTAATAAAATACATATAATAAACCAATTCAAAATCAAAAAACAGATACATCTAATAACTTCGACACTAAAAGAAATTAGCGACAGTTCTGCTATGCAGCAGCTCTTCACAAAACACCAAATAAACATTCTATTTAACCGGTTATTGAATAAGGGCGATATCAAACCTTTCATAACGACAATAAGTATAACGACATTAATAACAATTTTGGACACTGATAGACCTAGAAGATATAATTTATTTTTGTGACCTATTTTGAACTACCTCTTTTATCCCATGTCTATTTTATATCCACGAGCTGCGACGAAATGTACTGTAGTGCGTCTTTATCGTGCCAAATATATAATCTCTCAAAATTCATCAGCTCTCCGGAGCCTCGTCTAATCAAAAATTTTTCTTCACTACTATGTTACATTTTGAGAATTTGTAGCGCAGTACTGGCAGAACAGTTTTCAGTAGTAATGTCTCTAGGACACTGATGACAGACGAGGTAATTTCATGACAATCGAAAGCTCGTTCCTTGGTAACAATACGAAGCCGAAGGCTGAGTGCTGTTACCAAGCAACGAGCTTGAGAAATTTGTAAAGAAATTATGAGGCATTCATCAATGTCCCAGGGATATTCGGCGGATAATTTTTCGAAAAAAAAATCATAACTCAACATAACGAAACATTTATTTATTAAAAGTACAGTTAGTGAAAGTACTATTATTAAAATTTAAGTTAACATTAGATTTTGAAATTTATTTGGATAAGGTTGTCAAACTCGATCGTGTTGTCATAGGGATTGAAAATTGCACTGAATGCAAATATTAGTCTAATGTTGACATGACTGGGTGAAATTGTTTCACTTGACACAAAATGACGAAATTTGAATAGTTGTTAGAACAGTCGAAAAATTATCAGTAGTAATATCCCCAGGACATTGATAACAGACGAGATAATTTCAAGACAACCGAAAGCTCGTTCCTTGAGCAACGAGCTTGAGAAATTTGTCATGAAATTATGAGGCATTCATCAATCATCATCATCAATCAGCCAATCGCGTCCACTGCTGGACATAGGCCTCCCTCAGTTCTTTCCAGTGTTCTCTACACTGGGCCGCTTGTAGCCAGTTTCCCGCTACACGTTTAATGTCATCGGTCCATCTAGTCGGTGGTCGTCCTCGGCTTCTTTTATAATTTCTGGGCCTCCATTCCATAATACGTCTTGTCCACCGTCCATCTTGTGTTCTGGCTAAGTGCCCTGCCCAGTTCCACTTAAGCGTCGTGGTTCTTTCGATGACGTCTACCACGGGTAGCGGGTAGGTACTCTTCCACAATCCCAGTGGAGGATAGACTTACTTCAGGGATGCGATCCTGCCTTACGCGAGCCTTGATTCTCTCTCAACTCCTGTGGAGAGAAATCATGTCCTAACTCCATTCCTACCCAATACCTACTATCCTACCAATTTCCCAAACCAACTCACCAACCCGCCTGGCAAGCGTGGTGTTTAAATGCCAAAACCCCCCCCCCTCAGCATTCATCAATGTCCGAGGGATATTTGGCGGATAATTTTTCGAAAAAAAAAATCATAACTCATCATAACGAAACATTTATTTATTAAAAGTACAGTTAGTGAAAGTACAATTATTAAAATTTAAGTTAACATTAGAAACGTGACATTTTGAAATTTATTTGGATGAAGTTGTCGAACTCGATCGTGTTGTCATAGGGATTGAAAATTGCACTGAATGCAATTATCAGTCTAATGTTGACATGATTGGTTGAAATTGTTCCACATGACACAAAATGACGAAATTTGAATGGTTGTTAGAACAGTCGAAAAATTTTCACCATAATTGTACATAAATATGTTCATGTGAATTTTATGTATATAATATTTATTTGGTTATATGAATAATATTTACGTCATTATGAAATTATTATTATAAATAAGTTATGTATGTTTTGTGTAAACAAGTATTGCCTAAAAGTTAACTAATTACATAAACTACAATAACGGAGATATCGTCGTAATGTATAAAATCAAAAAGTATATTAATGATATAAAAAAATGTATAAAATACTGTCAATAACTTAAAAGTAACATCAAATTATAGATGAAATTAAATACAGTAATTAACTGCCTCCACCACAGACAGAATTACTTACAGCTTTTCTTTAAGCGTTGATTTATAGTAGTAGTAGTTGAAGTATCTTTAAAAAAAGTCGAAGCAGAGATTGTGTCCTGGTACCTTGATTACACCCATATGGTATTGACCGGTACCATTCGTCTGATATTGGGTGTGTTGCTATGGTCCTTTCTGGATAACGAGCACCAGTATAATCTCAATAACTCTGCTAATTGCTGCATGATACTCTTAGCATAAAATTAATGCTCTCTCAACTGACCTGTATGTACTACCAGGGTTACATCCTCGCAATGAATAAAAATGTCTGGTTTGAGTAGCTGTCCATCCCAATGACGAAACCGATAATTCCATTTCTACTGACCTTCGATATACAGTATCCTTATATTTTTTTGTCGATTTTATATATAATAGATAGGTACTGTAAACTGTTGCAATCTGCGCGGCATATCCTCTGCTCTACTGGATTACATAGTAATTCAGTAGTTGGTTAATTATCTGTGCGTTATTGGACTGAATTTACTTGGCCGTAACCGTGCGGTTTTCGTTAGTCAGTCTCTTTTGATTGAACTTTTGACCATATAGTTTGACTTGGCCAGAAAAATTTCGCTATTTCTCATTTTTTCACATAATGAGTGTTCATGTTTTAGATTCTTAGACACAATACTATTTTGTGGAATATATTTAATCTAATTAATATGTTTTTTTATAATATCTTTTACTTGCTTTCTTTATTCTGTATATCATTTAAGCTTTGTTACATGTTTTTTTTTTGTGTTTACTAATGCTATTTTATTATGTTTTAGGAGGCAACTGGCAGCTACACTTGGTTTAACTGATGCGCAGGTCAAAGTTTGGTTCCAAAATAGAAGAATGAAATGGCGACATTCTAGAGAGGGGCAAAATGGAGAAAATGCAGCAGCAGATTCAACGCAAGAAGAATTACATATAGATGTGGACACTGTTACAGATGATGCTGATTGATTAAATGGTATTTTTAATATTCAGGAATTATTCTTTTATTGATTATGAAATAAAATTTATTTTACAAATAAAATACTGAAAATTAAGATAGTTTAATTTTTTTTCTTCGTTATTTGTAACAACGATAAAGATATTTTTTTAACATAGCTTATAATAGTGCAAAGCCAAGTAGGAATCTGTAATAAAAGTGTGAGGTAAACATAACAACCAGTACAATTATTGAATAAACAACAATAAAATATTATCCAACCGACGGTACTTTACGAAAGAGAGACCTGGATCTTTGATAAAGATGTCAAGTTAAAATTAGATAGATTATTGCGAAAAATAGTTAGAAAAACATGGAATAGACACTAAGAATGTATAAAACTGTAATAAGACCAATAATTACGTATGCCTCAGAAACCTGGACTATGAAAACAACTGAGTGAATAGTGTTACAAGTATGAGAAAGAAAAATACTTCGAATCATATTTGGTGACAAAATAATAAACAATCAGTGTACGCAAAGAGTAAACTAAAAGGTAAAAGAATTATATAAGGAGAATTTTATGATTGCAGTAGTAAGAACACGATATTGAGTTTCACTCCAGTTAATGAAAGTATATGTAAAATACGCCCACGAGGTACAGTTCATAATATTAAAATAATTACATTAAAAATCCTAAAATTGAAACGTTTAAATAAGTGTAGGCAGATGGCAGATGCCCTGTATTAAAATTAAATTTAAAGACGTCCCTCTGTTTTCTTTATTACAATAATTATTAATATCCATGCCGCGACAGAAATTTCCGATAAACTAGTAACCGACCAACTACAAGTAGAATGTGAAAATGTGCAAAAGGGAGATGCAGTTACAGTTCTGGCTGATATAAACGCCAAGAAGGCGAAAAGAGCCAATATATACAGAATCCTTTGGTAGACATAGCTTGCATGATCTTACCAGCAACAACGGGATAAGGGTGACACAGTTGGCAATGGCAAATAAACTCAGAGTAGTTAGTACGTGTTTCCCTAACAATATCCAAATTCAATCTGGATAATACTGGGTACTAGAATGTAGAATGTAGAAAATGGGGCGGCCAATAGAGCCTGATACACTGCGACCTTTGCAGATCTATTGTGTTCCCCCCTTATTTTAAAGCACTTCATCTAGCTTGGTCCTCTTAATGAGACTCAACAGCCTTGATAGTGGCCTTTTCATGTAGCCTGGTGCTTCCGGTTTTTCCTCTCCGAGTTCTAGAAACCGCATTCGTGCGAGACCTTCGCAATGGCACAGAACGTGTAGAGCGGTTTCCTCTTCTTCCAGACAGAAACGACAGGTGTCCTCTTCTGTCAGGCCTATGAGACTCAAGTGTCTATTGAGTCTACAGTGCCCAGTGAGCAGACCCACTATCATTCTGACAGTCCTGCGTCTGTGCGAAAGTAAGTCTGCTGTAAATTTAGCCGAATGTTCTTTGATGAACTGTTTGGCCTGCCTCTGTCCTGGTGAGTTGTTCCACCACTCAAGAGACTTCTGTTGCACCCATTTGTGTATGGCTGCCCTTTTTATCGTATTTGCGATTCCAAAGAAGGGTTCCGGACCAACCAGTGGCGTAGATGCGCCTTCTCGGGCCAATTCGTCGGCCTTCTCGTTGCCACGATGGCCCTTATGTCCCGGCACCCAGGCAAGTGTCAACCTGTTTCGACTTCCTACCTGAGAGAGGACATCCAAACAGTTCCATACCAGCCATGAATCGACCTGTACCGAACTGAGAGCCTTTAGAGCCGCTTGACTATCCGAATAGATGACGATGGAGTCGTTATCTACATTTCGGCCGATTAGTTCCATAGCGCACCTGTGTATAGCAGCTAATTCGGCTTGAAATACGGTCGCGTATGTTCCTAGACATACCCGGACTTCCGTCCTTGGTTTTATGCCATATATTCCAGCCCCCGTACCTGTATCCGTTTTGGAGCCGTCCGTATACCATATTGAGTTTGCTGTTAGCGGCGGACCAGTTTCCCAGTCCTCTCTTTTTGGTATTGTAATTTGAAAATTTTTGTTAAAACTATACCTCGTAACCATTCGGTCTACAGGCATTCCTAGAACGGGGTCTGCCTTTATGTCCTGGTATAGCCTTAAGTTATCAGCTCCCTGCATCATACTTATTGGAGCTTGGCCTTGGATCAACCGATGTACTGTTGATCTGGCTTCACTCTGTATGTATATATGTAGAGGTGGTAGGTTTAGCAGAACTTCTAGCGCGTCCGTTGGGGCTGTTCTCATGGCTCCTGTAACACTCAAGCATGCAAGCCTTTGTGTGCTACTGAGCAATCGAATCGCCCCGGACTGTTGCGTTTTGTTCCACCACGCCACTGAACCATAAGTTATCATGGGCCTTATAACCCTTGTGTATAACCAGAGGTTCATTTTAGGATTTAACCCCCAATTCTTACCACACATTCGTCTACATGTATTCAGGGCCATAGTGGCCTTCTGTGTGACTTTCTGAATGTGTGCATTCCATGTCAGCCTCTGGTCGAATATTACACCTAAGTACTTGGCCTGACTTGTGAATGGGATTTCTACTCCCTTGAGCGCTAGTGGTTGTAAGCCTTGCAGTGCTCTTTTCCTGGTGAAGGGAACAACAGATGTTTTTTTAGGGTTAACCTTTAGGCCTTCTTCCTCACACCAGCTGTCCACCATCCTCAGAGCGACTTGAAGTCTCTCCGAAATTATTTTGGTAAAGCGTCCTCGGACTACAATTACCAAATCGTCCGCATAACCCAGGCAGTAAAAACCCTCCCTGGACAGTGTATTAAGTAGGTCGTCCATAAGCGTAGCCCACAGTAATGGGGATAAAACTCCTCCTTGTGGGCAGCCGCTTCCTGCCTTCGCTTCAATAGTGGCTTCACCTAACGAGGACACAATGATCCTGTTTGTTAAGGTCGCCTTTGTCCACTCGCATATGAAGGCAGGAACTCCTCTCCTTTTAAGCGCGTTCGTTACAGACTCGAAGGAGACGTTATTAAACGCTCCCTCCACGTCCAGAAACGTCGCCACCGCTATCTCCTTGTCATCTAGCGACTTTGAGAGCAGTCTGTTAAGATCATCCAGCGCCAAGTCAGTTGACTTTCCTGGCTGGTATGCATATTGGCGATCGCTAAGTGGATTCTCCATCAGCACTTCGTCCCTAATATACCTGTCTATCAATCTTTCCAACGTTTTTGCTAGGAAAGAGGATAGACTTATTGGTCTGTATGACTTGGGGGTCTGGTCCATTACCCTACCAACCTTGGGGATATATGTGACTTTCACCCTTCGCCATGCCGTTGGAATATATCTCCATGCCAAACTAGCTTTGAAGATCTTTGTTAGATGCGGGATGATCACATCCTGTCCCTTCTGTAGCAAGACTGGATAAATCCCGTCCATTCCAGGTGATTTGTATGGCTGGAATTTATTGATGGCCCACCTGACTTTTTCCGGTCTCGTGATGTCGGTAGCTAATTTCCAGTCCGCCTTAGTAGGCCTTCTGGGATGAGCCACCTCTACCGAAGGATTATTGTCAATGGATGAGCTGGGAAAATGTACCTTGGTGAGCATTATTAAGCTTTCCTCCAGGGTTTCTACATACGTTTCGTCCTCTTTCTTCAAGAGGCCGACCTGATTCGCAATACCATCCTTAGCCAGGACCTTGTGGATTCTGGAACATGCGGGAGCCTGTTTGACTTCCTTGCAGAACTTTCGCCACGAGTCTCTTTTGGCTTTTCGGATCTCCATATTATATTGCGTCAGTTTTTCTCTATAAATGGCCCAGTCCTGGTTGAATTTGGCTTTATTGAATAGCCTTCTTACATCTGCCCTAAGCTTTTGTAAGTGTTCATTCCACCAGGGTGTGTTTTTCTTTCCTTTCTTTTCTCTCTCTGGACAATTCTCCTGGTAAGCGGCCAGAACAGCTCCCCTCACCGTTTCGACTGTCAGTTCGAGATCTTCCGTATCTTTTATGGTGCCGATTCCTCCCTCAAGAGACTTCTCGAGTGAGCCTCTATAGCCTTCCCAATCCGTCTCTCTCGGGTTCCTGAACCTTGCCACCATTCGAGTCGAAGTAATTAAATCAAATCGAATGTGCCTATGGTCGGAACATGAAGGTTCCTCTGACACATGCCAATTCTTTATAGTATCGTACGTTTTTTCACTGCAAAGTGTTACATCTAAGACTTCTTTGCGCGTGGCCGTAACGAAGGTAGGTTTATTTCCTATATTGGCTATTTCTAAACCCATGCTTAAAATGAACTGTAGTAAAGACTCACCTCGACTGTTGATGTTCGTACTCCCCCATGCCAGATGGTGGGCATTGGCATCACATCCCAGTATTAGATGAAGGTTCTCCCTTCGGCTGTAGGTTATAACGTCCTCTACTATGCCTGGGCGGAAGACCTTCTCTCCAGCGAAGTAGGCAGAACAGACCAACCATCTTTTACTACCTTCCTCGGTGGAAGCGGTTAAAATACCTGTAGCAAAGTCTCCGGAGCAAAGATCCGGAATCAGTGTACAGTTTACTTCGTTACCATATACAATGCATGCTCGAGGTGTCTCTCCTTTCGCATCGTATAGTAATTTACCTTGTTGCGGCTTCAAGCCTGCAACCTTCCCTCCGTGGAGCCATGGTTCCTGCAGTAGGGCCAAGTCCAGGCCTTCCATGTCAAACCTTCTGCACAAAACCGCCGACGCAGCTTTAGCATGATGAAGGTTGACCTGCAGGACCTTTACTCTGCCTTCCTCTAAACTGAAGGCTAACTTTCGGGTTTTCCCGTGTCCTCTACCCCTTCCATGGGAGCGGCCACCCGCTCAGTGGCTTTTAGCCTTCTGGGCGGGTTTGTAGCACTCCCCTGCAAGTCGGTACGGACTTCTTTCGGGATTATTCCTTCTTTAGCTCCTTCCCTCGACTTATCATCCTTAGGGCGAGCCTTGTGTTTGGTCGAAGTGTTAACCTTCTTTGGCACTGCTTTAGGGC